TCGAAGGGAAGCCCGGGATTAATATAAAGATCCGATCGACGTGCCGCTATGAATAATCGAGCGAGCCGGGAAACGATTAAAACTAATACCTCCCGAAGACTGACGATGTACTACGTTGGCGCAGATAAAAATCCCGGTGTACCCGTCGCGCTTTATTAAAAGTGCCCGCCCACTAAATTAAATCTTCGACGGATTATTAAGAAAAAAAAAAAAAGGTTGTGGACAAATGAAACTCACAAAGTTTTATTAATACGGTTGAGGCACGTCCAGAATAAAATACGTTTCGTTTTGTCCCGACTTTACTCCACCGATATTGACGGTTCGCGGACTCTATATTTTCAAAGGTTGTCTTTGAAGTCGAATTTGGGGCCACGAAGTGGTTCCGCAATTGCACGAATGGGCAAGCTCGTGTTAACAAAAACTGGTTCGAGACACAGGCAACGACAGAAATTATAATGAACGCTCGAGCGTCGCAAACTAATTCGTGTGTCCATACGAATAGTTGTGCGAAACTGGTCATACGAGAAGTTATGTCCGAACAGGCGAGGGGGGGGGGGGGGGGGCATAATCTATTCAGTGCGGCGTTACACAGCGGTAAGTGAGTGCTGGGGGCTGTTCAGAGCTATTTGTTTAAGCCCCGGCGAGCGTGAATTCTCTAAAACAACAGCGAACAACATGCAAATGCGTCTCGCGACGCGATTCGTACTGGAATATGTCCGCGCGTACTTTTGCTCGCAGCGTCGCCCCGCCGACGGGCCACCACTATCATGCGGAATAATGAGGCTTCCTTTGCCAATGTATATGATGTTACATCATATTTAATATAGACCGTGCCAGATTTTATAAAATAAAAAGACATATTTGATGACCCAACTGGTGAAGTGGCCTCAGAGGGCGTGGGTTCGATCCTCACTATTGTAAAAATACTGTGTTATGAACATAGTGTTTTGTTTAAATATCTATAATATGTATTTGTTTATAAGAAAAAAAGTATGTTTGAGTATATCTATCAGTTGCCTAGTTGCCATAGTATAAGATAAAGAAAAATAATAAAACAAATCAAATGACTACACAATCAGATGCTTGACTTATTGCAATTATAATTTTGGGCAATCGACCACAATGCGTATGAAATTTGTTTTAATAAAACAAGAATGGAGTAAAAAAGATTAAAAAGTAAAGAGTTCTAAAAAGAAACAGCCTGTGGATGATTTATATTCACAGCAATAATTTAAATATTTTTTTTATAAATTCTGGGAATAATCACTGCCCTGCCCTATCACCCGATTTCGGCTTGACGTTGATTTATGGGACGTCCTGAATATGTTTTGTAAATACTTAAATGTTTTTTTTTTATTTTCAATACTAAAAGTATAACATAACATTGTATAGCTTTACACGAAGTCCCATCGAAACACATTTACGGTCCGATAATTCGACAAGCATATTTTTTGGTTAACAATTAACCTAAATAATTATTTATTTTTACATTCAATACAAAGAATTCCGTTAAACTTTTTAACAGTGGTACAAACCACGGCTAATATTCTACGTCGGGCGAAAAATAGTAATAAACCTTTAATTAGAATTTCTGACGTGATGAAATCATTCTACATCGTCCATGCTGTTAGCGCCAAAAGACTAAAATCACACGAAGCAAGAAAAGTTCCACGGCATTATGATAGCACGATATTATTATACGAAAACGTATTATGATAATATTATTAAAATCGGTACGGCCTCCCCTTTCCCTTTGTATCTCAATAACGATAAAATTGAAATGGGGCGTACGAGACACGGAGGAGTTGGGGATAATAATTCACCTATTGGTAATCTTAGCTAATTTCATTTACGCTCCACTAGTGAAGTGTGTCGTCGGGACGAACGGGGTGTGACATTCCAATCTATCCTTTAGCGTCATACGCATAAGGGTCACGGCGGCGACGTACATCAGCAATATCGGTGGCGCGCGACTCGTGGGAGCAGCGCGCGTCGCGTGGCTAAATTTGATTTATTCCTGGCAGTATGATCAAGTGGCATATTCGGTTCGCGGATGCGGAATATTGGCGGGATGATAAAGCTTTATTTGGCTTATATTGAGCCCGACGCCGAGCTCTATTACGCCATCGATTGAAGACGAAGAGAGGGATGGATCGCACTCGGTCATTAGCGGCGGGTTGTTGGAGATTAGCACAGGCAAAATTTAGGGGAGCACCTAAAGAAAAGTCAGACGCGAATAAAGTCAACACGACGAAGCGACAACTTAATTATGTACCGCGGAGCGTGGGTACTTTCGATTTTGAATGGCAATCCTTGTAGCGCTGGCACAATTTTCTCTGTGGAGAGATTGTTCCAACTGCAGTTAATTAGAAGTTGCGGAGTGCGGGTGCATCTAGCGAACGTCGCGAGTTTTTCATTTCGCCCCTTTTTGGTTGAGCCACAGTTATATTTTATTTTCATTTTTGTACTTTATTTAAAACGACAAAGCTAAGGATGGTATTAAATGTAACTGGTGAAAAATTTGCAAAAACAAACAAACAAATACACTTAGTAAATGGATGTTGATTCACAAACTATTTTATCACCTATCTGCCTTTTGTTTTTTTTTTTTTTTTATGCGAAAAGTTGTCAAACGAGCAGACGGTTCACCTGATGTTAAGTGAATACCGCCGCCCATGGACATCTGCTACACTCGAGGGTTACAGATGCGTTGACAACCTTTTGAAAATTGGGCTCCGGCTACCTCACTCACAGCGCCCAGACGAAACGCGAAAGTATTTGTCATACTTCCACTTTACGCCGGTCTTCTGTGAGGTCGTGGTACTTACCCGGACGGGCCTGCCCATTCGTGCAACAGCCGAGGCTGCTGCGTGGCCCTACCACCGTAAAACACCGCCTTCGTTCGTGGGGTTATTGCTGAGCAACAAGTGATTGTCTCAGATTCTCAATATCACTGCTTAAAAACAACTCAAACTCTATGTGAATATACAAGACTATAATACATTTATCGCGCAAAAAAAAAACGACCAATCACGAACATCGATACATTACACGCGTTTATCCATTCCTTAAATACAAAAAAACAAAAGATTGAATCTATTTCATTAAGGGCCTGTTTCACAATGTCCAAATAAAGTCCCGAATAAGCTATTTGCCACTTATCTGAGAAATAAAGTCATCGTTGGCGTGTCATACTCTTATAATAAGCGTATCTGGCAAATAATGTTCGAAGTAAATTATAGGTCAGATCATCTGTCAGATAAGGAATTTATTTTGTGGTTTGTTACTTGACAGATCATTTTCAAGAAGGAATTAGTATACGTATTTCGTATGTTGTGAAATCGAAAAATATTAAAAATGTATCTATTTAATGCCTTTGGCGACGAATTGATGTTTTTTTTATCGTTTATCGGAACCACGCAGATATTCTGTGTTTCGAAGTCGCTCTAATTACATGGTGGTGATGAGGAATTTAGACTGCGATTTAGATTTAATGAAGACACTATCTATTATGTCCAGTTAGAGCAAATTTCTTCTGATACACAAAGGTTTTATTTTGCCATATGTTTTATTTTTTATAATTTACGTATGTAGTGAAATGTCTATCTACTTAATATCCATGTTGTTTCTAATGGATTCTTGAATAATCATTGTTTCAGGAATTATGACATATTATCTACGGATTGAATTCAGTTGACACTGAGAAATTATGCAACTGGAAGTTTTCTGAACGTAGTTGGTGATTTAACGGGAGTGAGTAAGGCATCAGCTTGTGGAATTGTGAATGTGGTGTCACAAGCAATGGCACGATATCGAATTGTGTCCGGTAGTACAGTTTGTTAAGTTCCCAGAAGATGTTACTGAATTATAAGGAGACTTTTATGAGATAGCTAGATTTCCAAGGCTTATTGGTGCCATTCATTGTACCCACGTCCCAATAAAATCTACAGGTTAGTTGGTTCAGACTTGAAAATAATGGACATAGTGGCTAGATGGCCTGAAGTCACACACGACCAAACAATATTTAATAATTCGTTTATAAAACAAAGATTTTTGAACAGAGAATTTGGTAATAGTGTATTTTTGGTGATAAAGGTTAAGAAAATACATTTTATCTTTTGACTCCACTTCAAAATCCTGTTACACTAGCAGAACATCTCTATAACGAACAAGAAGTAGGAATCTTCTTGAGCGGACTTAAGGTGTTTGTAAAAATAGGTTTCCTATATTAGCAAAAAAGATAATATACATTCGTCTCGTGTCCAGTCTGTAATTGTAGCATGTGTAGCACAATATTGCAATTAATCTAAAAAAATGTTTTTGTAGCTTTTTAATCGTTAAGTTATAAGAGTATGTTCAGGTATATAAATGCGTAACAAAAAATTATGCTAAAAAATACATTATGAATGCTTTCAAGACTGATTAAATAAATAAAAAATTATGTTCTGACATTTCCCGTAAATCGAAACGCCAAAATGCGACGTTGCCGTATCTCTATCTTACAAGTAACAAACTGACACATAAACTTAATGGTAAGACGTTTGTGAAACGAAAACTATTTTAACAGGAAGTTTTATGTGGCAGTTAATTTATTTGTCAGTTAGTTATCCTACACTTTATTCAGACATTGTGAAACGGGCCCTAAATATAAAAGAAAAGAAAAACTAATATCGCCCCCATAACAGCATACAATATTCACGCTGAAACGTCCGCCTCAACGTCAGCGGACGACAGAGACGAAATTATTTTCGCGTCTTCGTCGTTACGTTACGAAAAAAATATACATTCGTACATACACATACATCTACGTATAAACACATATAGATATAGGAGATAATAAACACACATATAGAGCCACCGTGGAGACGGCACGCCCGGTATGAACTTGACTCGGGTACAAATATAAAAGAGCCGTGACTGTATCATATAAGCAGTGCTCTGGAGGGAATGAGCCGGGGCGTGCGTCACGACAAGTTATGAATTCCAGAGTGGCGTGAAAAATGGCCGGGATGGCGTCTCGCATTCGTTCCAGGCCCCTCGACCGTAACGCCAACACGCTGCCAGATAAAAGTGCGCGGACCATTGAAAGATACGGTGGCGGGGAGAGATATGTTTCCACGTACATTTATCGCGGCACAAATAATATCCCCTGGGGTGCGGACAAAAGTTTCCGATGTTCGCGACTTATTGATTCGAGTATCCGGCGCATTTGCATCGGGATAATATTGTGGGCTTTGCGGGTATATAATCCGAAAAAAAAAAAAAAGCAGCCAAGCTGAGCGAGAGATATGCATTACTTGTTTTTATGCGTATAAAACGCGTAAAAACAAGAAATGCACGCGTTTTATATTGAATCATAATTAATTACACTCAAAATAAAATGGCATAAAATTGTCAAAATAGTATCATTTAATCGTAAAAGAGAGATAGATAAACAACGTAGGTATATTTATCTATCTCTCTTTTACGAATATTATAATAATTATTATAATAACGTAACGTCATTAATGTTATATTATTTACTAGCTGACCCAGCTAACTTCGTACGGCCTAACAGAATAGTTCATAAAATTTAGGATTTTATGAATTATTTGTATCGTTATTGCAGCATTTTTGCAGTCAATGCAGACTATTTTAGGTAAAAGCGCTGAACGTAATAAGCTTTAATGGAGTCCCGGTGTCATTATGAAGTCATAAGACGTTCAAATAGCCTTCCGTTCCAGGACGGCTTTAAAATAACATTTGGAACGGCGCCGAGGCCGCTCTTCGAATATCGCAAATTCCCGCTATCGGCACATTGCCTACGTTGAATCGGATACTGAGTACATATATATGGATATAAATAAACTCAGATATTAAGGCAACATTATAAACATATTAGCTTTAACGTGGGTCTTCGTTCAACGTTCTGATCATTGCGAAATTTTTACAAAAAGTTTTAAACGTTGATCTGTCTCAGTTCATAGACTGTTAGATCCAATGGTTCAATGTGCTTAATTTTCAAAGTATCGCGTGTACATGCACGTTTTTTCCTTTCCATGTGACACAAACTCGATGCAATTAAGTTCAGTGCGAGATCTTATTGATTTGCTCACAGTCGCTGCACTTCACATGCTTTGCACACAGTCGCTGGATGTCACCAGTGACAGTAAACAGATGAACGCGATCAAAGCAAAGTCTATCTCTGATCAAAGCTGAAAAGTGAAACGTTAAAATTTCATTGAAAAAAATATATCACTGCCGGAATATTTATATCTAGAACAAATTGTACAATACGTTATGATGCACGATTTGCAAAAATGTAATTATAATTTAAATCTTGTGTAGACACTTCGTAGCTTTGATGTAGCTAATACATTGGTTGATGTAGCATCTCGTAGGTGCTACGGAGTTACAACCAATTTTTATAAAGATATTGAGATAATTCCACATCCATAATTATAAAGCACTGTGGATGTCAGAATTTTCAGGATAGTAAGGGAAGAAATATTCGCGAAATCAAAGCGGACGCCGACGCAAGCTAGTATACCCATAAAACTGCTCCCCATCGCTCCTGTTCTGAGGGAGCAATTTCGGACGCATTATTCAAAGCTACGGCCGTTCATTTCCTCGAGACGCACGTTCTAATGTCTCAATTTAGTGGTCGAGTTTTGTTTCATGAATTTCGCTCCACGACCGCGACGGATGAATGTTATTGCCTTAATTCGTGTAATAAACATCGCTCCGTTCCGGGCTAGTGATTAAAAATGTTAATACAATTATACTAAGCATCATTATGGACTCGACAACGGCAACATGCAGAAAATTGAATTTGTTATTTTATATACACCTGTTTATGGCGACGGTTGTGTAGAGGAATACATTAAAGGATATTTTTATGCGCTTCGCACTCTCCTATCAATTTTTCGGTACGTTCCTTTTTTTTAAATATAAGCCTCAATATCCAAAAACTAATAACTGTAGTCAGTGTACAATATTAATAAATGTATTTCAAGCTGTTCATCCATAAACTTGAGTTGTATATCGTGACCTAAATAATATGACGAGGTGGTTATACGATAACAACTTTAATCTTAGACCATTAAAAATACATATATCGCGATTGAGTCAATTGTCTCTTGGTATAATTATGTACACGATACAATGGAAACGAAACGCCGTTACTGTTATAATATAAATTATCTTAGTAACTAGCAATTAAACAAACTGCGTTGTAACTAATGAACAACATTGTTTACAAAATATAGGGTTTCGGTTTAATTTGTGAGTTTTTATGTCAAGTGATACAAATGAGTTCGAACCTCATAACTAGTAATATTATTCATGTATTCGGTCTATCCATCTATCCATCTATAAAAATATTCTTACCAATAGGTTTTTCTTATTTTAAAGATTAGTCATTTCTTCGAAAACTTATATGAGTGCCTTTTCTGGTTTTTGTGAATATCTCATCTCACTGTTTACATCCGTATGTTTTAGGTGTTCTGATTACCGCTGTGCGTGCCTCCGTTTATCGAGCGATACGCAAAAAAAGTAAAAACAAAAAAATATATATTTAGCTGGCTATGTTTGTTATGTTTGCCTTCGATAATCTACCACAGATTACAAATACATACTTGACATTAATATGTTATATGGCGCCTGTCACAATTGTTTCCAAATTGAAGTGACATCACAGAAAGCCAGCATTGTGGATGTCACCGCATTTTTGCCGAGTGGAGACCGTTATTGACATAATAACACGTCACCAAGTACATCTATAAATAATTTTTTTATTTAGTTTTGCTCATATAACTCATTATTAATGACAATGAGTTTATATTTTTATAATTTGTGGCTTAAATTTTGATTTAATTTTGTTCCTTTGTACATAATCACATATAACGTTGTGTGTACTAAAAGAAATAAACAATTTATGTCTATATTAATAATCGAAACATGTTCTTTTTTCAAATATCAAGCTTGTGAGAACAGAGAACTAAAGATACCTTCAAACACAGTAAATTACCAAATTAAAAGTGTCTTTGCACTTGCGTAGCACAGACGCTTTCAAATTTTATGTATTTTGGAAAATTTCACATAGTCTGTCAGATGTACAAAAATTATGGACTTTTCGTTAGACTCTAGTACTGCAAAGATACCACAACGGTGTTCGTACCGAATACGTAGCCGCACCCGAATGACATTTCATACACTCGCGGCTTATGCAAAGCACCAATAAACGTTAAAAATATTGCCGGAGAGCGAACGGCGTTCTAATGTATTCGACGGAGTTATTTTACGAAGCGCCTATAAAAATATAAAGGGGCCTGTCGTAAATGTTGAAACTCGGCCTATGGAGTGTGAAAGCGCGCGGCGAACACGGCGCGAGCTTTTCGGGGGCTTAGCTTAATTTTCTCGTGATCGCTTTTTAGTCCATTAAACGGACAATAACTCAATGTGCCCTCAATGATAATAGAGCACATGTATATGATAGGAACCGTTAGCGTATCATTTAACTTTTATGAGGAATTGTTGCGCTTAAATCGAAACGAATAATAATTAGATAAAAATCAATCAATCAATGACAGGTATGTAAACTTTTACAAATAATAACTAATATATGTAACTTTTAATAAATGTAACTTTTAAAAATAATATGGCACGTACCTTTATTAGAAAAGAATTTAAAATAACAGTAAATACTAATAAAATAAAATCTTATTATAAAAAACTACATTAATGGTAATAAGAAGTAATTTAGGTAGACAGTTTAAATATTCATTGATGTAGACAGTTAAAATATTACAGATGTTTAGATGCTTATATTTACTATACATTTCCGGTGAACACTACTCTTGAAGTACATATTCATATTGATAAAAACGTTCGGTTCTTTTTACTCAAACAAATCGGTTCTGTGAATTTGGGAATCCAATGAAATCATTTTCTTAAAAATACACAAGCTACACTTTAATACGAATAATAAGGACGACCTTTTTAATCTATGTTTAAGATAATTGCAATAAAAAATTAACATAAACGTTTTGAGAGACCAAATCAGAGACAATAGAGTGTTCGCGCGAATACTGCAGGGCGTTCTCGCAGTCGCATCGATCAACCGCCGTGCCTGCGGGCTGCCGCTCTTTTACGTCCCCACACGCGAGTTGAATGAAGCGGACCCTGGCCGGTCCGAGCAGACCCGAGCCGATCCCAACTGTTTCGTACCGGTGCGAACAGATTTGCCGCCCGCAAACAGTCGTAAATCCGCAGCATCGCCGTGATCTGCCTAGGCCTCTGCCTTGCCTCCATAAAAAAGGGAATACAAGCGAGGGGTGACGCAATGGTTCGTTGCGGGCGTGATTTATTTCAATAAACGCGTCGAACCCGTTTCATTTTAGCTTATGTCCCTGTCGCCTTGTTTTACTGCCCGACCGGAACTAGCTTCGACGTATTTTAAGCAAGATATCACATGTAACAGGGACACAGTCTCTTGATTTTAATCCGTTTAACGTCATCCACAAGTCTTAGGTTTTTACATAACAATTGAGAATTATTATTAAAATACATACATATAATTTCTTTAATATATTACCAATACTAAGATCCCATTTCACCAGATTTTGTTTATTAACTTTTATGAAATCTGGTAAAATATCTCAAAGCACCACACATACCAGTTATAATTGAAATTAATGAATGTTATTTAAAACATTTACTCAAAGTATATAACGCCCAAAACAAATTGTCATAAAATAACTCCTATATGTGTAAGGAAGCATTCTTTCATCCTAATTGAAAATGTTGTTCACTAAATTCAATTCAAATACAACCTAGTGAAACAATTCGTCTTCTCACTTCAGAAAATAAATTTTATTTCATGTCGTTTGCAAAAATAATTTTGTGTTGTGTAATGTTTGTAATGTAAAAATACGACTACTAAATATACAAGTACATTTGTGACGTAGCAATCTACTTCGTAGCAATGCGTCCTATATCGATTAAAGTACTTCGAACATATAACGCCATTTAAAAAGAAACAAAAGTAACGACATACTTTAACATTATCGAATAAAAGAGCACTTTGAAAGAAATTGACGTCAATTTCTAAGGGTAAATATTTACATCGCATCCAATAAGGGAGGCAAAACTGCCACCGCATATGTTCGCGCATATGGATGGAGGAGGAGAGTATGGCATAATGGATTTAAATTTACGTTGCTTTTGTTTCCCCGTTCATAAAACGCTTGAAAAAACTGGCCAGGAATTATAAGTAGAAAGAAAATACAAAACAAAAGCGTACAAAGCTTGACCGATTTAACCTAAAATGTTTTGAGGACGATACTACGTTGGTGGTTTTTAGGGTTCCGTACCCAAAGGGTAAAACGGGACCCTATCGCTAACACGTCGATATCTTTCCGCCTGTCAGTCTGTCTGTCTGTCCGTCAGCAACGAATACTAAAAAACAGAATGGTACGGGACCCGTTGTCTGCTTCGAGTCCGACTCGAACTTGGGCGGTTTTTTTATGTGAAAAGTTGTCAAGCGAGTCGGCGGTTCACTCGATGACCTACAGCGCCCGAGGAGCTTACGGATGCGTTGACAAACTTTAGAAGTGTACCCCGCTTACCTCACACAATAGAGGGAACGCTAAAGTGTAAGGGGGGCCGAGTACCCATTTCGAAGAATTGTATCGCCACAGCCACCAGGATACATGTATCGGCAATCCACCAAGGCAATTTTTTAACTAACACTTCATTTTACTTTATATAAAGGTATTATACTGTGGTAGGGCCACGCTACTGTGGTAGGGCCACGTTACCGTGGTAGGGCGACGGTACCGTGGTAGGGCCACACTTACTGTGGTAGGACCACGCAGCGGCCTCGGTTGTTACACGAATGGGCAGGCTCGTCCGGGTAAGTACCATGAACTCACAGAAGACCGTCGATAAGTGGAAGTATAATACTTTCGCGTTTCGTCTGGTGAGTGAGGTAGCCGGAGCCCAATTTTCAAAAGATTGTCAACGCATCTGCAACTCGCGGGTGTTGCAGATGTCCATGGGCGGCGGTATTCACTTAAGATCAGTTGAACCGCCTGCTCGCTTGGCAACTTTTCTCATAAAAAAAAAACAAAGGATGTTCATTGGAATACATCAAAAGATTTAAATTTAATATTACAATTAATTACGAAAATCCATTAAAGCACTGTACTCATCGCAATATTATTGCAATTACTGAAAGAGTCGGGGCTTTATCATACAATTCACATTGATGTTATTTAATCAAAATTGATTTAAGAAATTAATTATGACCGATTTATAAAACATGCTTTTGTAATAACGAATTTTGTAAAATCAAATGACTTCAATTACTATGACGGAAATATACAATACAAAATATTAATTTAGCATAGGTAAACAAGATAATTTTATAGATTTTATCTTTTTCTTAAAAAACTTTGATTTACATATCAATGTGTAGTATTGTCATAAATACAATAAATCAATATAAAGGCGTCAAAATCTGATTCTGGTCATTTAATCCTCTTAAGATACTAAACAAATTTTACATATTTTCACTGCATGCAACGTTATGTACAAAATACTTTAAATGCAGAAGTAAAGTACTACTTCTTACATTTGCATTTTCAATTCAATATTTAGGTTTAATTCAGAAGTATTTGACAATTTGGCCACTCCAACAAATCAAACGGTTTAAAAAAAAGACATTATCGATGCAACGATTGAGTGATGGTGGATGAGATATTGTATATTTCGGTTACAGCTTCAGCGAAAATCTACCCTAAAAACCCGGGTACTGTATTGCGGTCACCAAATAGATTCGTGTGCAGACATTAAACACAACATAACAACGTCCTTTTAAACAGGTAACAGTCAGTTAGTCGGTTTTACCGCCATACGGCGTTGGGTGATAACATAAAATGCGTGGACCGAGACGGCCCACCAATACGACCCGGTGACACAGGCACTCCCTTAACATATTTCAAGTGCGGCTTTACGATTAACCGTAAAATGTTAAGGGGAATCGTAAAAAAAGTTCACGGAAGAACGGTCCGTGTGCGGAACGCGTCTTGGCGGGCTTTCGACCAGAAATGATCCGATTACAGTACTGACATATATTAATGTGATAGAAGTAAAGATCGACATGTCATCATTGATCTCCTCGAGTTAGCGGTAATGGTAATTGAATTTAATTGCACTCTTTCATACGTGCGAGTGACTAACAGAAAGAATGACACAAAGACTGGTACACAACGAATGGAAAAGTAACACAACTACGAACAGAAACCAGCGTGAAATAGAAGTATTTTCATATTTCGGTTTCATTCAGTGAGTGAGGTAGCCGGTGACTAACCAACCTATAACGCTCCTGGTGTGGCCCAGCTAAGCTAACTTAACAAACCCAGAGCGGTTAGTTGCGTTGCCGACTTGTAAAAGGAAAGAGAAAGAGAAAGTCTTTTCAGTGAAAAGTAAGGTAGGGAAAAAAATTAATTAATAAGTACACTTTCGCTAACAAGAAACAAAGCCGACTTCAAATATCCCACTCACTATTCATTTTCCATTTGATTTCGAGTAGTTCCTTGTTGTATCTCCGAAGTCGAAAGTTCAATGACTCCAACAACGATGAAATTAATATGGGATAGAGAATTATTAAAATGGATTCATAAATGGCGGAGTTCTCCCGTTACAAACATAAAAAAAAAAACTAATTGAGATCCTTTTATAACGTACGCCTTCAAGGCAAGAGTGAACATCCTTTTACTGAGCTAACGCGCTCACCGTCAACGGCTGCATCGCCCCTTTTTTTTTGGTATCGGGGAGTAATTTTCGAAAGATACCCTGTCACCTAACATGACAGGGTTATGTGGGGTTCTTACCCACTAAAACCCCCTCGGTGGCCGCCTTCCGTACATTTGGAGGGACTCAGGGATCTCCCATGGAACGCCACTTACCATCAGGTGGGATGGCAGACAAGCGCTAGTCAGTACCTTATAAAAAATAATTGAGACATAGTATTTATGAATGAGAGCCCTTGACCTTAAAAGAACCTTATAAATGAAAGCCTCTTTCCTTTTTTTTTCGAAACTCTGTTGAAAACCGGGCAACTTTCACAGAAACATTTCGCCGTGTCGCACGACGGTCCGTAATAATAACAATATCGCAGCGTGGCTCGCGTCCGTGCCAAAGGCGAATACATCGCAAACGCGTGCAATTTCCGCGCACGGCGCGCAACAAAGTGGACCCCGACCGCTCGCCGACCGACGCTCATTAGAATAATTGGGAGCCAAACGCGAGCGACATTAAAGTTCCCCGCGAACGAATTATTATTATATTTCATTCGAAATGACCGAAACCAATGCTGTACCTCAGGTGCATACAATAGTAACTGCCACATTTTTCAAAACTATTCCTTTTACACCATTAAAATCGCAAGAAAAAATTCTTTACTAGTAGTAGTATTCTTTATAGTAGAGAGCATTAAGTCCTAAGATGCCTAATTAACAAAGTACCCAATCGTATATGATATCATAATCAATAATGCATTCAATGATTCACTCCAGGCATTTTTGCCGTTCGTATATATTTGTGTTTTGGCACCTAATGCTGTTTACCTCTGAGGTAATGGATAGTGCCGTACAAGTAAATAAAACAAAACATTAACAGAAATAAAAGAGTTCGCCTTAATTTTCCGAACAGGGATGTCTCTTATATGACACAGCTTGACGGTGTTGTAGTTAATTAAAACATGTAGAAAGGTGTTGGCTTGTAGGTGTTGTAGTTATTATATACATATTAGTGTTAGTGAGTTTCACCCACATATATGTATATCATAAAAATTCCTTAGTGAAAAGCGAAACTCTATGTAACCTGGAAACTGAACCAATCTAATCGGAATATTTACGGTGGTAGGGCCACACAGCAGCCTCGGCTGTTGCACGAATGGGCAGGCCTGTCCGGGTAAGTACCACGACCTCACAGAAGACCGGCGTAAAGTGGAAGTATGACAAATACTTTCGCGTTTAATCTGGTGAGTGAGGTAGCCGGAGCCCAATTTTCAAAAGGTTGTCAACGCATCTGTAACCCTCGGGTGTGGCGGCGGTATTCACTTAACATCAGGTGAACCGTCTGCTCGTTTGACAACTTTTCGCATAAAAAAAAATCGCTTGAGATCAATTGCCACGCCGCTAAGCTCTAACGTTTTAAAAACTCATTTCCTTTTTACCGTACGTTAGACATTTACTAATCTGTTACCAAAATTATA